AACTACCTCTTTCAAGGTGTTACAACATTTTTGGGACACCCTGTATATACCTCTGACGAGGCGACACGATAATCTTGCCCGAGGCGCCAATATTGCTAAAACCGGCCCTGATCAAGTTTCTTGTTCAAAGCTTACACGCCTAAATCTCATAAAATAGAAAATGAAATAGTAAAAGGCTAGACCTAATCTATATGTCTTTACAAAATTATATACTCTTTGTATGTATACTCTGTACAAAAGTATCAACAATACGAGAAAATAGACTAGGTGGAAAAAGGTGAAGTTTCAGAGCTTTGATTATTCGAATAGTTAAAGATGAAATAGTAAATTAATTTTGTTAATGTAGATGTTGTTCTGTACTTTGTATTGGCCCTGGAATGCCACTCTTAGGAGGTCACCATTTCAATTCACTGAACATACTGAAGTCAATAACACGTCAATAAAAACACTAACTCAATAAACACTTTATCTGAATGAATTTTTTTCATAATATGAGAAAAATGGATAAGGTGGCATTCTAGAGTTAGAAAGAAAATGTGCAATAGTTGTGTGGTGTATGAAAATATGTAGTTGTGTGGTAAATGTGTAGTTTCAAAGTTATGCCTTCGATTGTTCGAATAGTCAAAGATAAAATAGTAAATGGTACCTGAAGAAGTACGACATGACTCTCTTGTATAGCATGTAGAAAGCTGGGTCCCTCATGCTGATGGGAGAACTCTGAAGAGCGCTAGGGATTACGTTGTTCTTATTGCTGTATTCGGGACTGAAACCAAGGATATCGCGCGCAAGAGCGTCGAATCTTCCGTAGAATCTCTTGTTGTACGAATCCTCATTGCCTTCAATCACGTTGGCCAGCATACCCAGACCTTCCTGCGAGTAGAAGTTTATTTGTTTGCCCTCCTGGCCCACGAAGTAACCGGAGTCGATGGCGTCCATTATCCTCGCCTCCAGCACGGAAATTTCCTGGAGAAGTAAGACATTATCTTCTCTTACTTGTTACTTGGATTGCTACCTATTTTGAAGTAGTTGCTACTGGCATTGCAATTCTGATGCAATGGTTGGGTACTTGATTTCTAGAATTGCTAATTGTATGAATTGTATTGAAATAGTTGCATCCTTATTGAAATTTGTACTTTTCATGAAATTATTAGATACTTGCTTACTCGAATCACTACTTGGGTTGAAATAGTTACTTGCTTAGTGAAATTGCTACTTGTAACGAAATAGTTAGGTACTTGATTTCTGCAATTGCTAGTTATACTGACATAGATACTTGCTTAATGAAATTCCTACTTATATTGAAATAGTTATTTGCTCACTGGAATAGCTCCTTACTACTACTACTATCTTTAATATTACATCACATGAACTAACAGAATTTCCACCACACAAAGAAGAATAGGATTTTTGACGTACCTGAAGGTGTTTGTATTTGTAGTAGGGGATGTCCGAGTATTTGTTTCTTTGAGGAACAGGTACGCCATTGGAGTAGGTCAGCGTCGAGTAGTATCCAGGGTAGATCGGTTTGTACCAGTCGAAATCGTTTACTTCGCCGAGTCCTTGAGACATTCGTTCGAGGTAGTATCTGCCCATAAGTTGCTTGTAGAAGAAGTAGTAGAACTGTCCACGTATCTCCTTGGGAATGTTGAAGTATTTACTGCTGAGCCAGAATGGGAACACCTGCTGGTAGTAGTAGTAGAAAGAGTTTAATTCGACATCTTCCATGAAGTAGTCCAGTTTGTATTCACTGTCTACGTCTGGCATGTACGCGCTGCTGTAGTTGGCGTAGATCTTGTAGGTCTCCGAAGATCCTATACCTTGGGAGCTTCCGTAACCTAATGAAATTTAAGATGTAAACATTTTATATAAATAAAATGAATAGATGAAATAAATTAAATCAATTATATACAGGAAGTACTCGATGTAACCGAAGTAAATGAAACCAATGAAGTACATAAAACAAATAATGAAGTATATGAAGTAAACGAAATCATTCAAGTAAAAAAGAAAATAAATGAAACGAATGAAGTAGACGAAATAAATAAAATAAAATGAATGAAATAAATTAAGCAAATGAAAATACATTTGTGAAGTACGCTATTTACCTTGGCCCATCTTGAAGTCCTGGGCGTCTTGGATGACTTTGGAGCTGAAGAAGAGATTAGGGTAGATTTCGTAGATGGGTGGGAGCTTCATGTATTTACAATCATTTCTGTAGAACACTGCGACAGTGAAGGCTGTGGTGAAGACCCCGGGGTTCACGTTAATCCGTGCCCAACAGGCGGTTTTGTAAAAGGTTTGGAAGTCTTTGGCTGAATAAAACACCTCGAACAACATTTTCATTTCCATACGGTGTTCGTAGTTGTACGTAGTGTAAACGGCATTGCGGCTCAGAAGCAATCCATTTTTATACGACCATATGAATTGTTGTACAGCTTCCTATAAAATAAAATTACGCGATACGGTTGTAACAGGATGATTATAATACAAATTCTACAGGTATGTCTGAATCAAACTTTGAATTTCAATTCGTAGAAAGGTTTGAAATAATAATGTTATAGTCTGTGATATAAACGGTTATAACTTAGGAAATTTTAAATTTATTTCATATAATTTTATAGCAACGTTTTAAAGACCCTTTATCTACCGGGCTATTTAGAAACAAACTTTAATTCAAAAAAGAATTTTCTACAGTATCGTATGCCAATCTAGGCTGACAATAATTCCTCCATACTGTTACTGGGTACATTCAAAGCCAAGTCTGTTTCCCAACACTGAACAATGTAAGTAGACAACCATGAACACAGTAAATAAATTCGAATAGCTAAATACTGCAATTAAAAAGCCTAAAAATAGGCTTCCGGTAAATAAAGTGTTAAGAAACAAAAATATAAAAGAAATATCTATTTTCTGATTTAAAATAAAAGAATACTCTCTTAAGTTTCGTGTTTAGTCAGCATAATGTTATGACCTGTGATATAAACCGTTATAACTTTGCCAATTTCGTAATTTATTTCATATAATTTGGTAGAAATATTTCATATACCTTAACTAACAAGAATACCAAACAAAAATCTATTTTACTTCATCCCAAAATAAAAAAACACTCCGTTAGTTTCAAAGGAACTCTAATTCAAACTTAATAAAATTTAAATTCATAAAGAAAGGTAATCATACAAAATTCGTGCAGCGATCTAAGTATGTTCTAAAAGTCAATCTTGTCTTAGAAATGTTTTAGAAGTCAATAATGTGAGAACAAAACCCTGAGATAAAGAAGTCACCTTACCAAGTGTGTACAAAGATCCGAAATTACCCTAGATGTAAGACCATAGTTTAAAACAATAACTCAAGGGTGATTTCTACATCTTACAAAGTTTGTAAACACATTTTATATTGTTCTAGAAGTGAAACTTGGAAATTTACAACATATACAGTGGGTGTAGAAAGTACTCGTACACCGATCAATTTCCAAAAAAACAATGTAAAATTGTGATTTATTAATTTATTTTTTATAAACAATGACATTCTACATTTCTTGGAAATCTCTAGAATAGATACAGTACGAAAAGATTAGGTATTTGTATAAGTGAGAAATCAACAAGAAAAAACAATAAATTGATAGAAATACAGAAACAATAAGTATTCGTACAAGTGTTAAATTTTTAAAACTTCATTAAAAAAAAAAAAAAAACGAAATATACATCAATTTATAAATAATTAATACTTCGTGGGATTTCCTTTTGATTTTAAAATTACTGCAATTCTTCTAGGCATTAAATTAACTATCATAAATGTCGATGTTACTCAGGGTGGGATTTTCTTTCATTCCTTTATTAGAGCGTTTTTTTAAGTCTTTTTTACTGGGAATTTAATGTTTTCTAATTCTCACGATGCAATAAACTGATGTGTTTATATTAGAAATTCTACTGTAAATTGTTCGTCATAACAACCGTGGGAATACTTATTGCTTCTATATTTCTACCATTTTTTCGTATTTTCTTGTTAAATTTGCAAATTATATAAACTAGTAATTGTTGTTTGAACTATATTCTAGATATTGCCGAGAATATATAGAATATCATTGATTATAAAAAAAGAAGTTAATAAACTACAATTTAACACAAAAGTTTTTTGGGAAATTGATCGATGTACGAATACATTCTACACCCACGGTATACATATATAGGATAACTTCTACATTCTACATAGTTCTTAGATGACTGTAGATGTCGAAGTTACAAATTTGGAACATAACACTAGGATGATCTCTTGATACTAGAAAGTTCGTATACAAATCTACAATAATTGTAAGAGTCAATTTCACAAACTTCTAACGTAACCCAAGGATGAAGAAGTAATAGCCAAGTTTGTGAGCTTTGAACATAACTCTAAAGCGATAAGTTATTTTTCAAATTTTGTGCAAAGAAGAAGTTATCCTTAAAAATTGAAAATACTGTAAGAATCAAACACACAAGTTTTAAACGTAACTTCAATATGTTTTCTACATTCTATAGAGTTCGTAAACAAATTTTAGATTGTTCTGTAAGTATTAGATGTAAAAATTAATTCTGGGCTTTCATGTTCAATCATTTATAACTTCAACTCAAATAGATATACAGTGGGTGTAGAATGTATTCGTACGCCGATTAATTTCACAAAAAACTTTTGTATGAAATTGTAGTTTCTTAACTTCTTTTTTTATAATCAATGATATTGTACATATTCTCGGAAGTCTCTAAGATAGATATAGTCCAAACAACATTTACTAATTAATATAATTTGAGAAATTAACAAAGAAATCCGAAAAGTGGGTAAAAGTATAGAAGCAATATGTATTTGTACGATTCTTATGACGAACCATTTACAGTAGAGTTTCTAACATAAACACATCAGTTTATAGCTTTGTACGAATTAGAAACATCAAATTTATTGTAAAGAAGTCTTTAAAAATGTTTTAATACACAAGTGGAAGAAGATCTCATCCCGAATAATATCAAATTTAAAAATGGTACTTTTAAAAATGACTCTACTAGAGGAATTGAAGAAGATCCCACTTCGAATAACTAATAATTTAGTTAATTTAACGCTTAGAAGAGTTGTAATAATTATAAAATCAAAAGGAAATCTCACGAAGGTAGTATCATATACTTATAAGTTAATGTAAATTTCTTTCTTCTTTAATCAAGTTTTAAAAATTAAACAGTTGTGCGAATACTTATTGCTTCAATATTTCTATTGATTAATTGTTTTTTTCTTGTTAATTTTGCAACTTACATAAATAGCCATTTCTTTTGTACTTTATCTATTCTAGAGATTTCCGAGAATATATAGAATGTCATTGTTTATCAAAAATAAGTTAATAAATTACAATTTTACATAGTTTTTTTAGAAATTGATCAGTGTACGAATAACAGTGAACTTTCTACACCCACTGTAGTTACTTAGCATTTTGGTATATTAAATAATGAAGTCGTCAACCTGATCTTTATTGGAATGTACATTCCATATACAGGATGTTCCAAAAATGTTGTAACAGATTGAAAGAGGTGGTTCGGGAGGTGATTTGAAATAACTTTTTCCTTAGCGAAAATGTTGTCTGAGGCTTCGTTGAGGAGATATTAACGGAAAACACTGACCAATCAACGCGCGCGGATACCGGAGGAGCGCTCGCGGTAGCGTATGAGCGCGGCCGCCTAGCGCATAGCCACGCCTACCGCGGGCGCTCCTCCGGTATCCGCACGCGTTGATTGGTCAGTGTTTTCCGTTAATATCTCCATAACGCAGCCTCGGACAACATTTTCGCTAAGGAAAAAGTTGTTTCAAATCACCTCCCGAACAACCCCTTCAAGGATCTCCAACATTTTTGGGACACCCTGTATACATGACCCGAGGCTCAACCTACTGCCAATTAAAATGCATCTGTACGAATGTAGTACCTAAAGTCCTATCGGAAGACGTGGTAGCATCTCCGTTCAACTTTAAATGTACCTTCAAGTGTCTTTTTTTAATTAATACTTTACTTTACCGTATCATAATCTGTTTTACAAGCTCATTTTAAACTTGAACCTTAAATCTTAAAGTTACAGTACGACAAACGAAACAGAAATGTTACGGTTAATGAAAAGTTTTACTTACTTGGTCGTTGTACAGGTCTATGTTGCTCTCAGGGTTGAATTTCCTGCCGAGTTCATAGTACTCGGCATCGATCAGATCATTCTGCCTAATGTAGAGGAGTAGTTCGTAGATTTTCTTCTGTTTTTGAAGGAACTCCATGTCGGCCGTACGGCTGACCGCCGATGACATACCCTGGACGACGCATAACGCGACGAGCCCTACCAACAACGTTATCTTCAACATCCCTTTGACAACACGGCTCAGCCTCGAGTTAAATTCAATGCAATGTAGCTAATCCTTCGGTCACCGGCAGCTTTTATACTTATTTCGAATAAAGTAATCGCTTTGAACTTTTGACCCATATCGTATTTCAAAGATACGGTGTGTCAATAAATGTGTAATTTCGTGTTTGATTATTTGCACGCGAATCTGTCGAAAGTCGCTGCGATTTGTTAAAAAAAAAGAAAAGAAATGAGAGCGCAACGAATCGGATAAGGTCAGCAACCAATTCAGTGAGCGTCGGAGGTTCAATTCCATGCGCTCGTGTTCTCAACACAACAATTTTATTAGTTTTTTCCTTGGGTTCTTGTATAATTAACTTCTAGAACAATATTTTGTTCACGATTTCTGTAGAATGTAGAAACAATCTTAGAAAGTTTGAAATTTGTGTGTTTACTACAGTAATTTCAAGTATTTGTACAAACTTTGAAAAATAACTTATCGCTTTAGAGTTATGTTCAAAGCTCACAAACTTGGCTATTACTTCTTCATCCTTGGGTTACGTTAGAAGTTTGTGAAATTGACTCTTACAATTATTGTAGATTTGTATACGAACTTTCTAGTATCAAGAGATCATCCTAGTGTTATGTTCCAAATTTGTAACTTCGACATCTACAATCATCTAAGAACTATGTAGAATGTAGAAGTTATCCTATATATGTATACAGTGGGTGTAGAATGTATTCGTACATCGATCAATTTCCCAAAAAACTTTTGTGTTAAATTGTAGTTTATTAACTTCCTTTTTTATAATCAATGATATTCTACATATTCTCGGAAATATCTAGAATATAGTTCAAACAACAATTACTAGTTTATATAATTTGCAAATTTAACAAGAAAATACGAAAAAATGGTAGAAATATAGAAGCAATAAGTATTCCCACGGTTGTTATGACGAACAATTTACAGTAGAATTTCTAATATAAACACATCAGTTTATTGCATCGTGAGAATTAGAAAACATTAAATTCCCAGTAAAAAAGACTTAAAAAAACACTCTAATAAAGGAATGAAAGAAAATCCCACCCTGAGTAACATCGACATTTATGATAGTTAATTTAATGCCTAGAAGAATTGCAGTAATTTTAAAATCAAAAGGAAATCCCACGAAGTATTAATTATTTATAAATTGATGTATATTTCGTTTTTTTTTTTTTTTAATGAAGTTTTAAAAATTTAACACTTGTACGAATACTTATTGTTTCTGTATTTCTATCAATTTATTGTTTTTTCTTGTTGATTTCTCACTTATACAAAATACCTAATCTTTTCGTACTGTATCTATTCTAGAGATTTCCGAGAAATGTAGAATGACAAATTCTAATTTTGGTTGCAGGTCTCGGTCTCTCCTGGATAATGCAAAAGGCCGTTTACAATTCCTACAAAAATCTTCGATGTTACGTTTAATAGTGTGGTGAAGCTGTTGCCTTTCATTTTACTTCCCACAGAGATTTTAATTTGATTTTTATTTCTTTTTCTAGGTTTCTTTTTCCATGACTGGACAAATCATGTGGGATAATTGATTTTGTGTCAGTGCATATTTTTAGTGTTGTTTGATGATGTCAATAATAGGTAAATTATTAATGAAAACCACAGCACTTTTTGAATTTATAAATCGAATTTTGTCAAAGCAGAGTTATCTATAGAATCTATTTCTTAGGATGATTTTCCTTGCCAAATCACAAATGATCGAACCATAAATCATCTTATTGTTAGATGCAATGACAGACCTGTATATGTTCACTAGAATTTGTTTATCTTCTCTTGTTATTAAATACTATCTTCATTAAGTTAAATTGTAGATAGCATTCTTTTTTAAAGTTTATACTGTAAACGTGTCATTTAATTTGTTTCCAAGCATGCATAAGATTTTGACATAATTTATTTGGTAAACACTTAGTGTTTCCAAGATATAGTTTGATATCAAGTGAATTTGATTTTTTTTTAAAGTTATTTTGCGTTACCAATCATGTGTGAATGTTCAAGCAGGCAGTGCACAATTTTACAAGAAATTTTCAGCTGTAGGTGCAGGGTAATAGTTTAATATACTGTTTACAGTACTCTTATAGTACTATAAAATTATTACAATTATGTCATACAATCAATAACATTAAACTATTCATATTAAAAATTTCATCACTATTTCCGTACACATTAACAATAATATTTAGGAATATATTTCAGCACCTGATAACGACAATGAGTTCGTAAATAAATAATTTTTTATTTCCTAAATCATGTGCATGCACACAAATTATTTTAATACATTCTGGATTAATTAAATAGTTATATGATATATTTTATTCTCTCAATGACTACAATTTGAGACCGAATAAGTATAAAAAAAAATCAAAATAGACATAAAATTTCAGAAAAAGCTTTTAGCCCTCACAAATAAAAATAAAGAGCATGAAAATAGAATTAATAGACCAGATATAACTACATAAGTTATATAAGACTAAAAAGAAGTTAGTTGAGTGTTGAAAGTTTTAATTAAGCATCAATCATTTCGATTTGGATAGACACTAGAATTAAAAAGCTTTCAAACAGGCTCTTGGTATATAAATTGTTAATATTTACTTCGTTTCTTTATTTAACTAAACCTCTTGAGGGAAGAATTTAAAATTTTGTTTTTTCGTATAACAACAGTTTATATTTATTTGGTTTCTTTATTTAGCTGAATCTCATGAGAAACAAATTTAAAATTTTATTCTTTCATAACAAAAAGGATAACAACAATATAGAGTATATGTTGTTCCCCTTTAATATTACACATTTTTTAATCCTAAAAGATATTGTAATTGTAAATAACTATAATTTTGATATAAAACCAAACATACACATATGTGTCAATATCCCTCCTCAAGAGGTTAATTAAAAAAAAAAAGTAAAACTTCACTAAGGCATAACACGTCGTGGTAGAGACAAGACGAAAAGACAAAGTTCAGCGAATTGCTATTTTATGTCCGAAACTGATAAAATGAAATTAAATAAAATTAAATATAATTCTGATACGTGCCAGCAATCGCGCAGCATGTCGGGTTTACAAATAGTCTCATAAGAAACGAACATAATTTGGTAGATTAGTTGACATTTATTGTAGTATTGATACGTTATAATGTTATAAACAGCAGGTGGTACTGAGACATTAACAAAGACAAGAATGAAGATAGTTTTTGGTTGACCTCCCAACAACCACCCGCAATGGATAATTACACTAATCTTTTGCTGAACCGATAGTTCTTCTCCAATCGTGAGGTCGTTTACTTATTTATATCAGGTCGTTCCATGAATCATTGCGTATTTCAATGTACGAACTTTTGATACACTGCAAACACACATAAACATCGTTCTATTCGTTTGAGTATCAACGATTCTTCGTATTGAGATCTCTACAGTGCTCGAAATTTCCATAAAGCCACCACGTTTGTTGGTAATATCTTATAATTATTCTATATTTATGATCAATTTGAGTATGCTTTCATTTTAGGCGTATTAAAAACACACACATATATATAGATTGAAATAATAGAAATAATATTTATTTAAAGAAATAAATGTAAATATATACTTTTATATCAAATAAACCGCGAAATTTCTATAAAGCCATATATTTTTTAAATAAGTAGGTTCAAAATTAACAGTAAGGTCTTTTTTATTTCTTCATTAATAATTAGTAGAACTGCCATTTCTTCGAATAACTTCAAAAATACGATCGGGCATTGACGAAATCAAACTCTGAAGTATGCCTTCTTGAATAGATGTTCATGGTTCGTTCACCGCTTTCCATAATTCATTAACAGTACTGTATTGCTTACAATTGCCATAAACTTTCCTCGCGAGTATCCCCCAAAGATTTTCTATTGGGTTTAAATCTGGGGAACAAGCTGGCCATGTCAAAATCCTGATATTTTTTTCAGCTAACCACTGCTTCGTGTAATTTGATGTATGGATGGCAGCGTTATCGTGTTGATAAATGAAGTTGTCGCGTCAAATATCTTCAATAAATAGTATTAAAATTGTGTCTAATAATTCTGTATATTTTTCAGAACTCATTTTAGGAGTAATGCGACAGATTGGAGTCTTGGCGACAGCTTTAAATGCAGCACAGATCATTAATGTACCACCACCAAAGTTGCAACTCATTGTTATGTCTTTTTCTGTCGTTAAATCATGCCAGTAATATTTAAAACCATCTGGATGTCTAAATTGAATTTCTTTTCATCCGAAAAAATAACAAATTCCCATTCTTTGAACCAGGACATGTTTTTGCAAAATCAAGACGAGCCTGTTTGTGTTCGGCTTTGAGTGCTGGTTTCTGCACTATTTTTGTTCAGTGGAATCGTTTGAAATTTTTTAAAAACTGTTGTACGCGTCTTGTACTTACTGGCAAATTTAATTCAACGCGAAGTTGTGCTGCACTTCTCAAGTCTCTTGATGCAGATGTCATTAATAATGAATATTGTCTCTTGGTCAGCTTTTGATTTCCCCCTTTGGAATGGGTTTTGCCACAATTTTTTCCTACATTTACGTAATTATTTACAACGGTACGTGATCGGTTAACTTTCTTTGCAATTATGCGATAAGAACATCCCATATTCATATAAGCATCAATGGATGCCTTTTCTTCAATGGTTAACAATTGTCCTTGTGGCATTTTACTAGTAAAAAATTAAAATATAAAATATTTCGATTTCAATAAATTTACAGATCAATTTTTACACAAATACTTACTTTTTTATTGGAGTTTTACTTCCTTTATTGTACCTAGCTGAACTTATTAACTCAGAATCTAAGCACAAACTAAGTGGCCTTATAGAAATTTCGCACTTATATTTCGCTTCGTACAGCAAAAAATGTAAACACACCGAAAAGGTAAACATTTCCGAGCAGATACTCGCAGATTTATGATTAGTTAATTAATTGATTAGTTAAGTTAATAATATTTTTAACAAATTCGT